AATCAGACAGGCAGAACGTGAACGGGACAGCCTCCTACTGACTGAGGGTCGCCAAGCTTGAGAGGGTGGTAGTTTCCAATGGATTACAAAGGCTTCTCCTACCTTTGAGAAAAAGGCTCAAGGGCCCTTATCATAAGTTCGCCTGGAACGGTTTTTGACCGGTCAACTGCTCTTCCCCGTTTTTCTTTGCTGAAGTAACTTCTGCAGTAGCAAGAGTGAATGACAAAACGAAACTATGTGGTGCTCAATCAACTGGCATGGTGAGATTGAGCTTTGTTCGGTCTCTACCTCGTGAATGTTCAGGCGTAATGGAATATGCGGCTGTGTTAAGCCATCATGCGTAGTTCCTGTGGTCATGAAAGCATGCAGGTCATCAGATCACCTCGGGATGTATTCTCGTCGTGATCATTTGGCGGTATGTAGCGGACTAGTGACTTTCACCATCACTACCAACTCCACATTGAACATCAATTTATTCGTTGGGAACGAGCTATTCATTGCCGCATTTTCCGCTTGTTTCTATTCGTTTTTTCGTATCGGCGGAGTTGTTCGAGGTCATCATAATAGCAGCTCGGAAGTTTAGGATCCCGTACCATCGATTGCTTTACTTATTTAAGTGTTCACTCGGGAAGCCTTGGTTGGCTACAGCCCATTGCTGATTGCGTAATTTTATATTCAATGAGTCAAATAGGAGTAGAACATTGCAATTGTGACTCCATTAGACTCTTGCTGTTTGTCGATTCCCACTAACAAACATTATACTCTTAACATTTGTTGCACTGTTTTTCATCTTTGTAGACACTTGCAAAACCATACTTGGAGAAAAGCCCGTTATTTGGAAACGAAAACATCGCCGGACATCCAGCGAACTTCACGCTTCACATTTCTTATGATATCTTTTTCATTCAAAATTTCCAATCTTCCGGTTAACCCAGTTGTAAGTACCGACTGGATAAAATCAGATGTACCTGCCTATCTGTTGTCCACATCTGCTGATGGCTTTCATCCTCATTCATGTTCATTTTCTCTGGATTTATTTTTCTAGCCAAATTCAAATTCATTCCTTGTTTTCACTGTACACAATCTCATCTCTTACACGTCTTCTGCAGAAAAATTGACACCAAACACATATCAAAAAGACCGTACAGTTTTATTTCAAAAAGAAAAGTTCACTTTTTTCACGAGATTTTTGCTCTTGTATAAACTGAACGATCCACAAGCTATAATTTGAATGGGTTCTAAGGTTTAGTTCCCGGGTCACTTGCGGTGTGTGCGGTCTCAACACAGCAAAGACACCGTAATGATTGAACAGAATACACACTGGCAAACTGTACTGAATAACTTCATTGACTACTAATACTATAGCAAGCATTAACAGTAATCAATCAGAGACTGACGTGGAACAACTGCCCATGGCTAGTAGTGCATTGTTTCACTGAGTGGTCCATCAATTGATCAGAAAGACAAGAAGATATAGCCACATTTCACAGACTACTATATACACAGGCAACAAGCGTCTTTGTCGGATCATAAAGACCAAGAATGAATTTATCGGTAAGTAAGGTGATTGAATAGCTCGAGTGGGTGATTGTTGTGACAAAGTAATGGAACAGCACGGATCAAGTAAGAATATTACGCGGTAATTCGGGAGCCACTGTCTCCGGCCACCAAGACGGTGCGAACGGTTCCACGTGATACCACCCTAATGACTGGACATCATCACTTAGACGTAGCGGTACACGCAATGATGATTGCACAACGGATGCTTCCGAGAATCGTAATAATGCCAGGCCTTCGAGTACAGGATCCGAGGAATTGCAATCGATCGCCCGAAGCCAACCAAGTGGTCGCAATTTCCCGTTCTCCTTTTCTGCTTCGGATGAATCAGCTACTATCTTTGAGTTTAATAGATCACTGATATCAGAAAGGGGTCAAAAAAATATGTAACACTGTGAAGAATAACACTCAGATCGGTGTATCCGTGCGGAGAAAAACTTGGTGATCGGTTTGCAGTTATGTTTCAGTATCAAATGCATTAAACAACAGATGCATCTGTGAAAAATCTTCCCTTTTTACAAGCACAGCCCTCAGAAGAAGAATCTTCGACTCGCACAACAGACAGTATTGAGTAATGGGTAATAAAATCACAATGTATATTGATTTTAGGATCACCTGTTTGTATCAGGTGATCGTACCGCAAGAGTATCAACAGCCAATCTTACCCCACATACCAAGTTGTAATCTTCAGTGGACTTCAGTGGAACTAAAATCGGTTAAGTATTACGGAACCATAGCGGTAAAATGAAGCTTCGGTCGTGTCTAACTACTACATCGGGAAAACCGCATGCATACATAACTTTCCAACTTTGATCAGTCAACAGCATTTACAACAAATTAGTGACCGCTGAAAAGGAAGGGATCAGTATTTTGAACAGTTAATGAATGAAAAGTACTTGCGGTTTAACGAGTAAAAAGAGTAGCAACTGAGAAAACTATTTCAATTTCACAAGATCACGATAAAAAGGCTGACCGGAAGCGATTGATCGAGGACGGTTAGTTGTGGAAAAACCTCAGAACTGTATGCCGGATGAGAAAAAATGCTGAATGTGGAAATCCGGGTATCGAAAAGTAAGTGATTGCTATCGAAACGTCGGTCGTAAAAATCGTCACCTAGGATTAGCCCAAGAGCATTGCTGATGATCAGTTTACCGTTACAATAATGCTATTGTTCGACGCCCCAGTGGATATCCGGATAGATGTCAGATAAATAAATTAGCTTTCATGTATACCCGGCATTTCAAATTCGAAATTCGTGAAGAAAATATACATCCCAAATAAGAATGGCCCGGATAAGAGAACCTGAAGTGCAGCAATAGCCTTGAAACCGGTTGGGCTTCCACGGAAACTGTATTAGACACATTCAGGCACTACTTATTTCTGCACACATACAGATACCACAAGAAACGATACAACTTACATCTGGTCGGACGGTTTTCGTGGTGGGTTCTGGTTTCTTTCAATCGGAACTAATCGAATTGGGACGTAGCGACGGCGTACAACACCAGTGAACCGCGTCCGCGCAGTCAGTTCCTGTCCAACATAACAACCCTTTGAAAAGCTTACAGCTCCAGATAAATCACCATTAGCTTCTAACGGTAGCGTTTTGTCTTGAAGCAGTTCGTTTGGGCCCTCGGGTAAACCGAGACGCCACCGAGTACGATTGTAATCTGACACCGTCTCAGGCAAATTTTTAGCGCCAGTAAAAATGTCGCAAGCTGAAAATGGATAGTGATAATAACCCCAGTGTTAGAATATATACACGAACCGCGCGGCACTTCGATCAAATGTATACGTGTAAAAGTACTATCTGCAAAAGATTACCTTTGACACTGGAACTAAGCAGAATCCTCCCAGACCAACCGGGAATCCCCCGAGGATCAAAGGCGTAGAAAAGTAGGCCCGAGTGGGTGCCTGAACCGTGGGTACCATCCGGTTTTAAAGGAAGCCACGACTGTTGATTTGATAGGGAGGAAATCGAAGCCTCATGTGGCGGCATAACGATCCAGACTGATATCGATTCATCCACATTAATTTTCACCTGGGCAAAAGAAGAGTTAAGTGATGTAAAGGTACGAGGGGTCGGAAAAGCGCTTCCGTATACACGCAATACACGAGTACGCGATGCAGATGACCGGGCAAGGAAAACGTGAACTGTAACCTCGTATTGTGAATATTGTTCAGTGATTGGAACTCACAGAACCAAATACCAACACAGCCGAGAGCACAGCTCACAAGTCACACGAGGGTCGCTATACTCGAACTTTAAGGAATTCAATCAGTCACTTGTGAGCGACGGTTTTCTACGACTACAAATGTGGTTTATTACAGCAGCAGCGGAGTGTTGATCGTTTGCGAGCTACCTTTGGTGATGACGCTGCGTGTGATCTTATATTCTCAAATGTCAGGTGAATGATGCGTGGAATCCGATACCAGTCATAAACAGTTGCAATGGAGGCCTTTATTGAACTGGCTGAAGGGTTACTTACCCGCTTCCCCAAACGGTTTGAGCGCATGGAACTGTGCATGAATGCCGATGAAGAATACTTCGAGAAAATGGAAAGCACAATTTTATGGAAGAAATAAAACCTTTTGTGCATCCGGAAACTTTTTGCTTGTGATAAACCTCATTTGAATTACAGGCATAATGACTGAGCTGAATGCATCTTCAATAGTAAGCGCTCACAGAATACGTATTAAGAATGAATCCTTGTACATCCGGGCTAGACGGGTCTTCCAAGTGTTCCACTACATTCTCGATTTCCTAAGTGGATCACAGAAACCTGCTCCTCCCAGTTGATTAGTCACAAATTTGTACTGGGAACCAAATAAATAAACCGCATCTGTGACATCCCAGTTTCAGATTCTTCGAATTTATTCTATAAACCAACGTGTATATTATGGTGCAGATCGGGCGATCTAAGTCACTTCCACAGCCGAGTATCGGGTATGCATGACTGAAATCTCCCACCACCTTAGCCATAACACAGCCTCATATTTGTCTTATAAAGTGTTAGCACGTCCCAGGACCCAGATGGCCGGTACCCATTATTGAATAGTAAGGCTTGATGATCATGGGGTTCAGCCTCTTCACGATTTTTGTTGCTTGTGGTTCGACTGTTCTTGTTAAAGAATGACCCTACCCTCCCTCATTTGTTACTATCAATCATTTTTAATTATTTGCGAAAATACTGGTCTCAACACACGTGTNCGCCTTCCAAAAAAAAAAAACTGATCCAAATATATGTGATCAACGTACAGAAATCATAAACGAATAAGGATATTATTGTGAGGGAGCACAGAGAACTCATCAGACCGCGCAGGGATCCGCGTTACACCATAAGCACACTCACAATGGCAAAGACAAGTCGTGTCCCGATGGGATAACTGTGGAACCAGAGAACGGTTGTCCGCTCAACCAATGGGAGAGTCAAGGACGGAGTCTGGCTAGTAGTGCATCACTGTATAGTTCTCCTATCTTCGATTTGTCAATTATATACGCGTGTAGTACCAAGAGCACACTCTGGTTGTCTTTCTTTATTTGTTTTCTCGTCCGCATTATTGTTGGGGCCCAAGCAGCAAACGCTCGTTTTGATCGTACGGCAAGGCCGAACAGTCAATCACACCCAGGAGAATTCGCATTTCCTCGCATGCTCCCACTTTTCAGCAAACCGAAATCAACCGTATACGTAACAACGTAGGTCTTTACTATGCAATGTCACCCCCTCATTATGTTGTACTTCCTGATATTTCCTTATTTGGTTGCTGATTTATGTACGGGACGACCATTGATCATGCAATGTCGCATTCAGCTTTCGATTTTCCACCTAGTGTGACGCACGCATGAGGCTGTTCACTAAGTGAATAACCCTTGTGAGGAAGGCACACAGATGCTAGCAGTCCAAGACGTGACAATGAGCAAGCGCCTGATTGTCAGAGAAAAGCAGAATGTGTGGTAAATGTTGAATGGATCAGGTGCAACTCAGAGCCGGTGACAGCGACTAAACGACTACACTAACATCACCCCGATTAAGAAAGTTCAGTGCTCCATATTAGAAGCAGCCGTCAAAAAGAACATTACTTAGGGTTCAGACGACAAACCGTCTCTAGAGCTAAGAAATCCAAGGAGAGTCAATTTACTGCTTTGTTTGAGCATGACTGGAGAACAGTTATCACTGCGTAATGCCAAATCTGGCTGTCTGCTTAACTCCAAAATAGTTTTCCAAGGACGCTCAATTTTTCTATTTTTAGCTTCAGCGGTTCCCCTTCCATTGACCTTTCCTCGTCCATCTCGTCCCCAGTTGGGCAGTCCCCCTTATCATATACATATTATATATATTATTACATATATATATATATATATATATATAATATTTCCATCGTAATAAGTGACAGCTTGAAATTAACCGTAGGCAACGTTAATGACCCTATAACTTTCCAATCCAATCCAATCTTTTCGCTGTCGAGACAAAACTGCAGACTGCGAAAGTAAACTTGACCGAAACCAAAGTACTTTGGCGCTTATAAATCCCCAACAGACAAGCCTTCCTGAGAAATCACGCACGTTAGACGAACTGGCGATGCACCGCGACTCGTGTAACGTGCGTGATGTCCCAGAAAGACCCATCTGAGGGAACTTAATGAGCTATAAAGTACTTTGGTTTCGGCAATGTTGACTTTGTTTTTAGCAATCCGTTGTTTAGTTTTGGCAAATCGTGGATCGGAAGGCCACAGGAGATACCCATTTCTCGTTTTGGTTAACTGGTTATTCTTGCATACATGAAGTGATCACCAGTTTTTTTCTTTTCTTTGTCATTATTACTTTCTTTTATTGAATACATTAAATAATGCAATTTTCATGAAGGGGAAATATTATATGAGAAAATTAGCTTGTCTTAGCCACGACGAATGAAAACCGAAACACAAAAGCGTTGTAATATTACACATATTTTCACACACGTCTGAGTCCAGACTGTGTGCCAAATAAATCATGATACAATATTTTTCATGAAAAAGAAAGACGTTCCATGAAGGCAGAAGCGGCCAATCAAAGCTCGCCACACAACGGGAGCGAGGTGATGGTAGTGGGATTCGAACACGCGTCCCCTAGAGTGATTATTTGGTGAAGTTACTACCGGGCCACCATCGCCCACAACCTACTTCTTTCGATTATAACGCTCAAAGTTCAGCTTGCGACCGTTAACGATCAAACTGTCGCATAAACCAATCCGATTGCTTATTCCACTTTCGTTCGCAACTACTTGTGAGTAGTCGCGTTCCGTTTTCGCTTTTTACCAGAAAAGTTGCCTTGTGATGAGCAGTTTGCATTACGTGACATTGAACACACGGTTTTCGGTTGCTGAAATTAAACGTACTAAAAAGCAGATTAATCTACTCATTGTGGAAGTTAACGGATGAAAAACCGTCAATTGTAAAATCAAGCAACCTCGTAAACGGCGACTCATTTTTATTTGGTTTAACGAGGTGAAATAAGTGGACGACATTCACTGAGAGTTCTTGATAAGGAAACAGCCCCCTTAACAGAGACTAATCTTCTCATTCTCGACTAACTTACAGAATTCAAATTTCTATTTTTCGCACTAGTTAGACTTGCTGACGCATCACCAGCCTAGCTCGTGCCCGAATGACCCAGTTCCCCAGATATATTTGGACTAATGATGTAATTCGCTAGATCACCGATGGCCAACCTGAAGATTGTATATAAACAGACGTATTTATCACTTTGTGGTTGGAGCCAAATAAGCTTCAGTTTACACAACCATTAACTGGTTTAATACCACGTCTAACCTAATGGGGCAGTATGCGGTTCGCCACTCCAAGTCCCGGGGCTTGGTTTACCGATTTTTATTACTCAACTCACACTCAACGACTCTAGTCATCGATTTCACCGAGGCACCCACCCAGGAAGTATACCCCGATCTATATAACCGAGTCCAATGGTCAGGGTCCTCATGCCCCCACATCAGGTCAAAGTTTGACTACCGTTGACTGCTTTCACCAAAACGCACAGCCTCCCTTGAAATACCACTTTCCTACTTCCTTCTCAGTCAGTTGAGTTTCTAAAATTGCACTTCGTTGTTGAACGGGCTCGTATCGAGATGGCATCCCGCGATTATCCAGCTCGTGCGTTCATCAGCATGAGTCGAGCTTGTCATTTCATTGGATCAAAATAGTTCAGAAGATAATCAAATAATCATCGCACAACAAAATACAGTGAAGCGAACTTGACTGATGGTTGCCAAACTCGAAATGCATCCAAGATTAGTGGTGAAATTTAAGGTGGACAGGGACTGGACCTAAACTGACGGACGGGGAAGAAGGTGAACCACTATGGTCAACA